CAGCAGCAGCACGCCCACTTCGTGGCACTCGGCGCCCATCCGCCGGCAAGCAATCGCGTGCCCCAGTTCGTGCCACGCCTTCACCACAACCACGGCGACCACCGCCATCAGCGCGTGCATCGGGCTGAAGAGATCGAGCATCCGCCGCAGTTCAATCGTCAGTTCCTCGGCCCTGCCGAGCAACCCCATACCGACGACCAGCGTCGCCACCAGCAGCGTCACGGCGAACGCCCTGCCGAACAGCAGCGACCCAAGCGGCCGCAGCGCGCCGAGCAGCGGCGTTGGATCAACGCCCGGCAAGCGGATCGCCAGCGGGCTCATCAGCGTCGCGTACCAAGGCGCTTTGCCCGATGGCTTGCGCGGCTCGGTCGCGGCGTCCGACAACAACAGCGAGCAGTCGTAGAGCGACGCGCAGAAGCCGAGCACCTGTTCGCCCGTCGCGCGCTCGTTGGGGAACTGCCGTTGGAACCGCCGCGTCAGCTCGGCCACCGTCATCGGGTCGCGCAGCGTGCGGAGCAAGAAGCCTTCACGGTCGCCGAGCCGGAAGTACTCCAGCGACAAGGGGTCTTTGACCACCGTCGCGTCGCCGCTGGCGCTGAGCATGAAGTCGCGCCGGGCTCGCAGGCGGCCTCGCGTCAACCAACTGGCTTGACTCACGGCACGCTCACTTCAGTTCGCGAAGTAAGCCGCCGGCTGCACGGGCGCGTCGCCCGCGGCGGCGTCGAGGATCATCACCCGCGCCGTCAGGCCCGGCCGCAGCCGCATCGCGCTGTTATCGACTTCGGCCCAGAACCGCACCTTGGCGTCCACGGGCTCAGCCTCGGGACTAACGAAAACGACACGGCCTTCGGCTTTGATCGTCTCGCCGCTGGGCAGCAGCGCCTCGACGACGACGGGACGGTTCACCAGCCCGGCGAGCGCGTCGTCGATGCCCACAAAGCCCTCGACGCGCAACTGATCTACCCGCACCAGCCGCGCGATCGGCTCGCCCGCATCGACCCACTCACCCGCCTCGCAGAACAGCTCGGCGACAACGCCGCCGATCGGCGAGGTGACCCGCATCTTCTCGACCTGGTGCTGCGCCAGCCGCAGGTCGGCCTCGATACGGCCCAGCTTCGCGGCCAGCAGATCGCGTTCGAAATTAGCGAACTCGATCTCGAGCTCCGACTTCTCCATCGTCAACCGCAATCGCTCGACCTCTTTGGTCGAGACCGTGTTGGGCAGCTCGGCGTTGATCGACGTCGCCCGCTTCAGCTCGGCCTCGGCGACTTTGTTCTCTTTCGCGGCGAGGCGGACGCGGACGTCGCTCTCCGACTCGCTCCGCGCGATCGCCAGGTCTTGCTCGATCACTTCGGCCGACAGCTGCTGCTCGCGTGCGTCGACCTCGCCGATCGTCGCGCCTTGTTCGAGCCGCATCCCCTCATGCACGACTAGCTCGCGCAGCACGCCCGCCTCGGGCGCTGGAACCTTGACTGTCTCGCTCACCGTCAAGATCGACGACGCGACCTCGATCGTCTCGGCGACCGTCACCGCGGGACAACACGCCAGCAGCATCGCCCCGAGCAGGAGCAACTCAGAACCAGCGGCGGCGGATCGCGTCGATCGCTTCATGCAGCCAGACATAGGCGAGGGAGTGGGTGCCGCAATCGATCTTAGCCGAGACCCCCAGCCCACTGCGAGGATTCGCCACGGCCGCTTCGGCGGGGTCCGCTACGACCCGCACAACCGGACTCCCCTCGTCGTCGGTCTGGGTGGCGTCGGCGATCGCCGTCACCACGGCCGTGTGCGTCTGGGCGGGGTCCGAACGCACCACGTACTCCACCCGCAGCGGCTCGCCCGTCGCTTGGGCCCGCAGCAGTGGCCCGACGCGGTGGTCGGGCGCCTCTAGCTCTAGCCGCCAGTGGCCGTCCGCCGCCACCTCCAGCAGCCGCTGCCCCCGCCGCACCGGCCGGTCGGCGAGGTAATCCTCCGGTCGCCAGCTGACGACATCGCCTTTGATCGGGCTGGTAACCAGGAGTTTCGCCGCTTCCGCTTCGAGCAGCTCCCGCTGCTTCTGCTGATGGCTGAGCCGCTCGCGCAACGCCGCCGCGCGGCTGGCGATCGTCGTCGCGTCGTCCCGGTCCTCGCCGCGGCCGGGGAGTGACGCGCGGAGCTTCTCGGTCTCCAGGGAAGCGATCTCCGATTGCGTCGCCGCGATCGCCTCGGCGACCTCTTCCTGCTTCAGTTGCAGGTCGGGCGATTCGAGCCGCACCAGCGGCTGCCCCCGGCTCACTTGGTCGGCTTGCTTGACGAGCACCTCACGAACGACGCCATCGAGCGGCGCGAAGACACACGCCTGGTCCACCGGCTCGAAGCGCCCATCCACTTGCAGCCACAACGTCGCCGGCGTCACTAGCGCGAACACAACCGCCGCCAACAACAGCCCGACAACCGCCAGCGCCGTCGCTGTGCGGCTCAGCGGCGCCCAGCCCCAACCACCCGAGCGGTCCCGCATCGCCGCGACGCCCATGTGCCGTGCGAGCGCCGCCAGCATCGCGTCGCCTTCATCATCGACCGCCCCGTCGAACCATTCGGCGAGCATCGCCAGCCGCGGCGCGTCGTCAAGTGAATCCCCGTCGGCGGGGGCGACGCACGGCAGCACCCGCAACGCGCGGACACCCGAGGCCTCGCAGTAGCGATCGACTTCGTCGGCGATCGGAGGCGACAACGGTCGGCCGTCGTCGCTGGGGTAGCGAAGCGGCTCGCCGCCACGCAGCGCCGCGTTTGCGATCCGCTCGATCGCGCGGGCCGCGTCGCTGCGTCGACTCACCTGTGCGACGCCGCTCACCGTGACGATCCGCCACCCGTCCGCGGTCGGCGTCAGCACCGACAGCCGGTCGCATCCGGCCGCCAAACGCCCCTGCTCCGCCGCCTCGTGGGCAATCGGCCGGAGGCCCCGCTTCGAGTGGAGCCGCACCAGCAGCTTCTCGATCCGCGCCAGCCGCGTCTGGGCTCTCTGCACACGGCCCGACTCGCAACGCAACTCGTAACGTCCCGCGATCTCCGCGACCGCGGCGGCGAGCTCGATGCTGCGCTCGGGCGTCGCCGCGCTGTCGCCCAGCCGGAAGGCGATCACGCCCACCGGGCCGCTCGCCGATTCGACAGGCACAGCGACCACCGGCTCGCCGTCGAGCCCCGGCACGATGCGCGGCATGCCGTCGAGGCGGACCCGCTGAACCCTGTCGGCTTCGACCAGCGGGCCCGTCAGGTTCCAACGCTGCGGCCGATGATCCACGGCGCCCGCGGACGCGACATACTCGGCCGCGTCGGCGCCAATCGCCATCGACGCAGCGGGCAGTAACTGGCGGTAGAACGCCGCAGCATCGTCAGTCGCCGCCGTCGTGGCGAGGCGGTCGAGGTCGTCCAAGAATGCGTCGACATCCGTCATCGACTGTTTGCCTTCAATGCGTGCCCTGAGGGGCAGTCAATTGTGGGAGGGGTCTCCAGACCCCGATGACGCGCACCATGCCGTTTCGGAATGGAGACCGCAATCGGGGTCTGGAGACCCCTCCTACAGTTTGACCCCGGCCCTACTCACCGCCCCGGCGCCGCCGTTGCCGCTTCACACGGGTGAACGCCACACCGTCGGCGTCCAGTGTAAACGGTCCGGCGTCATTAAGGCGACGCCGCCAGACGCCGACCGCCGCCATCGCCGCGAACGCCGTGTGGCGTGCGTCCACCGGGGCCGACTCCAGCTCCAAGAGCCCCAGCGGCGCCCCCTGCGGGGCGCCCACAGCCGGCGCCTCAACCGGCCCGTTCACCGCGGGCGTCGCAGGACGAGCTTCTTCGGCGGGTAAGTCGGCTTCCTCGGCAGGCCCTTCGGCAGCAGGTCCGTCAGTTGTAGGAACAGCGGAGGGCTTCGTCGCCATTCCGTCGTCAGCTTCCGCATCGTCCCCCTTTACCCATTCCTCCAACAGCTGCTCGCTGCGTAGCGTCACCACCTTGATGACGTACCGGCCCTCCGAGTACGGGCCCTCGTCGATCTTGTCGCGGATCTCGCGCAGGAAGTCGCCCTCGGCGTCCTCGTGAATCCGCGGCCATTTCTCGCCGGGGATATCGACGACCCACTCCCCCTGTTCATCGACACGGCCGTACCACACTTCCTCGGTGGTTGAAACCGAAACGGCGCGGCCCTCGTCGAGCGTCGTCTGCTGCGTCACTTGCGTCGGCTCGGAACGCGGCAACGTCACGCTCACCGGCTCGTACTGCTGCGGCAGGTCGGGCTCGGAGATGATGAAGTATCCCGGCGGCGGCAGCGTGATGATCCGCGGCGCGATCGAGAAGCTCACGCTGTTGAGGTTCCGCACGCCCCCTTGGTCGAAGAGGTTGATCGCCGCGTCGTTGAACACCCGCACCGTCGTCGGCAGTCGGTTCTGCGCCGGGTTGTTCGGGACGAACGCCTCGTCGTAGTTGTGTGTGATCGTCGCCACGCGGCTGGCGCCAGCGAGCGTCTGGTACTGGTAGCCCGTGACGGAGGGGTCGGCGACGTTCGCCTCGATCGTCTCGACCGGCGTCTGCACGACATCCGCATAGGGCCGCGATCCAGGCACGTCCGTCGATCCCACCGTATTGGTCGGCAGGTTCGTGCCGGGCGCGAGACGGACGTTGGCGTTGCTGTACTGGCGGATGTCGGCCGTGTCGGCCCACTCGACTTCCACGAGCAGGTTGTCCTCGCCGCGCGACCCTAGGGCCATCGTGACCCGTTGCTCGAAGTTCTGGTCGGCACGCACCAGGCCGCTTGTCGCGGCGTTTCCTTCTTCGGTCGAAGGGTCGAGGATCGCCCGCGGCCCGAAGCCATTCGGGTCATCGGAGTTGACGTTCGTGACGGTCCCCGTCCGGCTCACGAGCCGCGTTGTCCGCAGGCCCGTTGCGAGGTTGTCGGGGTCCTCGGTGTCGATCCGCAGCGTGCCGGCCGCGATCGCCGTGAAGACGCCGCCCGCCATCTGCACCGCGATGCCGTCGAGTTCGTCGCCCCCTTCGCGGTTGCGGTTGGTGAAGAACAGATCGCCGCCAGCCGTCGTTGCGAGGAACGCATTGCCGCCGTCCTCGACCGCCACGCCGCGGGCCTCGGCCGCATCAACGTCGCGCCGCGCGTCGGTGTTCGGATCGTGAACGTCGCCGACGTTGGCGTCACCGCTGACGACGACGATCATCGTGTAGAGGTCATCGATCGTGCGGGTCTGCCCGCCGTCCTCGAGCAAGTGATCGACGACGTAATCACCATTCGGCAGGCGGACCGCTTCGGAGAGCCGCGCGTTCTCACCGCCCGTCAGCAGCACGTCCTCAAAGCCCTCGTCGCCAGAGCGCGCGGGCATATCAGGCCGCACGCCCGTCAGCGGGTCGTCCGCCTCGACGATCACCGGCGCGAAGGCCGGGCTCGTTGGCGACGGGATATCAGAGCCGGCGAACTTACCGCCCACTGTGCCGCCGCCCACCAGCGGCTGGCTCAACGCCACTGAGCCGCCCGACTTGATCTGCAAGTTCGGGTCCGTGCCCGTGCTAGTCAGCTCGACCAAGCGCAGCAGCACCGCCCCGTTGTCCGACGCGACCGAGATCTTGTCCGCCGCGAGCGCCTTCGGCGCCGCGGTCGTCACCTGCGTAACGTGCCCCGTCGCGGCGAGGTAGAACGTGCCGGCGAACTGCGAGTAGTTGTCGAGGTTCGACAGCGGCGCGTCGCCCGTCCGGACGTTGACGCCCGAGTCGGCGTGGATCGAGACGTTCTCCGCCTGCACCGCCAGGTACTGCGCGTCGTTGAACAGCTGGGGGTTGTTCCCATCGCCATCGGCCATGCTGAACGCCGCCGCGCCCGCGCCGAGCGTCACGTCGTTCTCGCCGTTGAGGCCGGCCTTCAGCTTGGCGGTCTGCGTCACCTCGACCGAGGTCGCCGCGACGATTTCGCCCGTCGTGACGCTGTCCGTATCCGTGATGAAGCCCGCCGACAGCAACTCGAGGTCCTGCGCCGTGCTCAAGCCGCCGAGCACGGTGTCGTTGTCTTCCGCCAATCGGACCATGCCCCCCTGCGCGCTAAAGCCGAGCGTGCCGGCCGTAAACAACGCGGCCGCCGGGGCGCCGGTCGCGGGGACGACCCCAACGTCGATCCCCTTCGGGCTTCCTGCGGGGACTTGGTTCACGATAAAGTTGGCGTGCCCGCCGACCACCAACTCGTTCGCGGCATCGCCGTCGGCAAGCACAATCGCCGCCGGGCCGGCGACGTCGGCGATCGTGCCGACGGTGAACTTCGCGTCGCCTGTAACCAGCACCTTGGCGTCCGCCGCATCGGTAATCGCGCCGGCCGAGGTCAACTCTAAACCACCGGCCTGGCTAGGTACGCCGGCGAGCAACGTTCCATTGTCTTCAGCGATACGGACAATGCCGCCAGGAGTGCTAAACGCCAGCGACCCCGCCATGAAAACCGCATCGGCGGGCGTACCGATCGCTGTCACACCAAGGTCGATGCCCTTCGCACTATCACTAAGGACAGTGAATTGCGCCAAACCATCAACGACGAGACGGTTGTCGCCGCCCTGATTCGCCAGCACGATCGCGCGGTCCTCGCCGACGTTTACCGTTGACGAAACCGTAAACGAGGCGTCGCCGCTGACTTCGACGCGGGCTGTCGCCTCATCGCTGATGACGCCGTCCGACGTAAGTTGCAGCGATCCCGCCACGCTCGCCGGCAACGGCCGACCAAAACCAAGCACCCAGTTGGTCGTCTCGCCGGCCAGCGACGTGCCGCTGTCCTCGCCGATGCGCACCGCGGCGTCCGGAGCGTAAAAGCGCAACGCGCCGGCGTTGAACGTCGCTGCTGCGAGGTCACCGTCAGAAGCCCTACCAAGGTCGATCTCGCCGCCGCCGAGCGTGACAAAGGTCGCGTAGCCGCCGGCGGTGAAGCGATTGATCGTCGACTCGGCGTTGTCGTCGGCGAGCGTGATCGCCTTGTCATCGACGCCCAGCCCCGCCGTGTCCGTGACCAAAAACTCCGCGTTGCCCGTCACTTCAATAACGGCGCCCGCCGTGTCGGTGATCGGCCCGGCGGAGACCAGCTCAATGCCCAACGCCGCGCTGCGGTCGACGCCGGCCGGCACGAGCGGCGAGGTCGCACCGGCGTCCCAACCGGCCAGCACCGTGCCGGGCGTTTCATCGTAAATGACGTCCTTGAACGTCGCCGAAGCGTCCTCGGCGAAACGAAGGACCCGGCCCTGCGTCGCGAAGCGGAGGGTCCCCGCGACGAACTCCGCCGCCGCCACGCCGTCTCCCGCCGCGCCGACGCTGACAGTCTGCAACACGCCCGTTGCCGCGGCGAACGTAACGCCGCCATCGACGATCAGCTTGTTCTCGACGCCGCCGTCGGCGAGCGTGATCGACTGCGTGGCGACGAACGTCGCGCTGGCCGTCGGGTCGTAAACGCGATCACCGCTGGCGTCGCGGCCGCTGGCGATGATGACGGCGTCGGCTGCGTCGGTGATGCCGCCACCGCTATAAACTTCGATCGTCTTCGCTTCGGTCGCCATCGGCGCCACGGATACGATAGGAGGGGCAGTCAGCGGCGACACCGGCGTCGTCATCCAATCAACGAAGTGCGTGCCGTCGCCCTCGACGATGCGCGCGGTCCCGTTCGGCGCGGAGAAGCGGAGGCCGCCGGCTTGGAAGATCGCCAGCGGCTCGCAGTCGCTATCAATCGTGCCCACTCGCAAGGCGCTTCCATTACCTGACACGAACGTCGCTACACCGCCCACGTTTAACGAAGTCGGCGCCGGGCCGCTAAAGACAAGTGGGGCAAAGTCGGCCAAAATGATACTCTGCCCCGCGCTGAACGACGCATCGCCTGCGACGTCGATCCTTGCGTCGAACGTGTCGGTGATCGAACCGGTCGAAGAGAGTTCCAAATTTCCCGCAATGCTGATCGTCGGCGTTGGCAGTGGGATCGACGGAGCGATCGTGTCTGACGCCCAGCCAGCGAGAGCCGTGCTGCTGTCCTCCGCGATCCGCACGTCACCGCCCACCGACACGAAGCGGATCGACCCGGCGTCGAACAGGGCCACGGCCGCCGAACCGGCGGCGCCAACCCCGACCGAGATGTCATCGCCATCGGTAGAGATGAAAGTGGCGATGCCTGAGACGGTCAGTCGATTGTAGAACGTGTCAAACGGATCAAATGGATCCGTGTCAGCAAGAATAATCTCGTCCTTGGCGACAAAGGTCGCGCTACCGACGTTTACTAAGGAGTCTGCATCGTCGGTAATCGAACCCGCCGAGGTGATCTGCAATGCGCGCGCGACTCTCGTCCCAGTGATTGGGTAAAACAGGTAGGGGAAAACCGTCGGCCCCGGCGTCGTCGTCCAGCCTACCAACACCGTGCTACTGTCCTCGGCAATGCGGACCGCCCCGCTGTTCGAGCTAAATCGCAGCGTGCCCGTATTGAACGTCGCCGCCGCGGCGGCGCCCGCCGAGTCCACGCCGACGTCGATGCCCGCCGCATTGGGATTCTGGACGAAAGTCGCGAGGCCATCGACCGACAAAGTATTCGCCGCGCCGCCATCGGCCAGTACCATCGTCGTGTCAGAGTAGAACGCCGCGTCGCCGCTGATCCGCACCACCGCGTCCGCATCGTCGCTGATCATCCCCAGCCTTGATTGCAGCTCGAGCGTGTGAGCGACACTGGCGTCAACCCGATCTCCCGCTCCCCACCCTGCGAGCACCGCGTCGCTGTCCTCGGCGATGCGCACGGTCGCACCGGGCGCGTAGAAACGCAGCGAGCCAGCGTTGAAGCCTCCCGCAAATCGGCCGGTCGATCCAACACCGACATCGATTCCCTTCGGACCACGAAATCCTTCAACCGGCGTCGTCGGCTGTTCAACGATGAATGTGGCGACGCCTCCGATCGTTCGGCGGGTGATGCCGCCTGCCGATGGACTGCTAAGCATGATCGCCTGCACGAGCGGCCCATCAGCGATCATCGCCGTCTCGGTCACGACGAACGACGCGTCGCCCAGCACTGTGATCGGCTCGAAGACAGAGGTTGTGATCTGCCCACCCGATTCGATCTGCAGCGTATACGCCTCGATGCTGCCCAACACCGTCGTCGGCCCGCTGTCGCCCGCGGTCGCGTCCTCGTGGATGATCACGTTCGCGCCGTACGCGTTGACCGAGCCGAACTCCGCCACGCCCCCGACGCCGACGTAGATGTCGTGCGTCCCCTCGGGCTCCGCCGCGTCGAACGTCGCCACGCCGCCAATCACCAGCCGGTCGCCCGTCTCGTTCGCCAGCTCGATCCCCCCCTGCCCCGTCTGCCCGAGCGTGTCGCGCCACGCCGTGTAGTCGGCCGCGTCCACGCGCCCATCGCCGTTGGCGTCGCCGTGGTACTTCGTGGCGCCGCTCGTCATGCCATAGTTCTTCGCCCAGTGCTCGGTGCGGTCCACGTCATCAACAATGCCGTCGCCGTTGAAGTCGCCAGCGGGGCTCGCGGCGCGCGAGGTGAAGGTCGCGTTGCCGCTGATGAGGATCTCACTGCCAGGCGCGTCGGTGATCGAGCCGCCGATCGAGACGATGTTCAGGTCGCCCGACACGTTGAGGCTCGACAGCACCGTGCCGCTCGGCGCGACGATCAGTTGGAACCCGTCCGTCGGCGCCGTCACCAGCGCGAAGGGCTGCTCTTGACCGACCGAGGTCACGCCGTCGAGCGTCACCGGCCCCGACAGGCCGGAGAAGTCTGCGTCGCCCAGCCGCACGTCCAACTGATGGCCGAGGCTACCCTCGATCGTCAGGCCGTCCTCGAGTCCTTCGAGCAACGCACGATCGATCGATAACGTGTCGCCATCGATCGTCACTCCCTCGGGGAGTTGGTTAGGCTCGTGCTGCTCCCAACCATTGCCGCTAGTGAACAGGTAGTCGTCCCCGTCCTGCTGGACCGCCAGGGTGTCGCCCCCGGCGTCGTCGAACCCGCTGAGCACCAACCCCGTCGCGGTCAGCGAGAAGTCGGCGCTGAGCACCCGCCGCCGCTCCAACCGCATCACCCGTAATGGCCGCGGGCCCATTGGCCGACGGGGCGGTGCGGCGAACAACCCCTCAACGGCGTCTTGCCAATCCTCGTGGGCGCGCGAGAGCAGCCGCCGGACGACTCGAAATGGATGCATAGGGGCGCCTATGTGCTGGGCCTAACTCGACGGCGCCGCCCCTGACGACACCGGCGCCCCTCCCGATCTAGGAGGAGGAGCCGCCGGTGCAGACCGCTAGCGGCCGCCGCGCGGAGTTTGCGGATACCGTCGTGATAGTCACGACCGCCCGACCTGTCAAACTAAACGCTTGCCAGCAATAGATTTATGGCGTTTTCGGCGGGCGAAGACACCCTATCTCGCCGCGCCCGCCTTTCTAGCCGCGCCCGTCAGGAAGCGGATCGGCTGAACCCCTTTCGACGGCATCCACCAATGATCGCCGCCAAGACCGCCAACCCAACGCCTCCCGGCTCCGGCACGGCCTGCGCCAGCGCCGCTTCGATCGAAGCCCCGTAGTGATTCGCCCAAACGGCTTGATCTTCGTCATCCACGACCCCGTCCCCGTTCCCATCCGCCCCGGCGTAAGCCGCCACGTTCGACCCAACCGCGTCCCGCCAAACGGTGTAGTCCCCCGCATCGACGAGCCCGTCGCCGTTGTAGTCGCCACGCAAGCCGGCGATCTCGAAAGCGTCGAGCACCAACCGATCGGCGCCGTACGGGCTATTGGCGCCGTAATGGACGAGGAAGCTCCCTTGTCCGTCCAGCGTCTCGAGGCGGTCGCCACTGGCGATGTTCTCGAACGCGCCGAGGAGATCGGCTCCGGCGTCGAGCAGGATGCGTGAATCTCCCGCGCTGGGCAAATCATCGTCGAGCAGCTTGAGGCTCAGGTCTCCGCTGAGAACCGCCGTATTCAGAACCGATAGTTCTCCCCCCTCAACGAGGCCGATACCAACCTCCAACGTCGAACCCGTGTCTTGTTGGTACGAGCCGACGGTGAGGTCGCCTCCGGTGACTTCAAGCCTGCCGTTTCCAACCCGCAAACGCCCGTCGACCTGAAGCGTTCCG